TGTCTGTCTGTCTGTCTAGCGTGGGGTGGGGTGGGGGACCGGCAGACAGCACAGCAGCTGAGGGAGGTGTGAGGTACAGAGCAATGGAGAAAAACTAAGACACCTGCGCCCCTGCTGACTCCTGGGGCGGGAGGAATAAGGTAATGAGGGAAGTATTTTTTTAAAAAGAGGGATGGGGAGAGTTGTGTGGCGTAGGCTTTCTGCCCGAGGCAGCTAGGAAGAAATTATGTGTATGCTTGAAAGAAAGTAGTGGTGACCAATTCGAATTCTTTAACCTACTTATCTGGCTGAGCTGCCGAGATGGCCCCGAGGTGAGGACCAGTGTGGCGGGAGGACCAGGTGTCGATTGCAGGCTGTGCCGAGTCAGGCAGAGAGAGGGTGTGTAAAGACAGCTTAGGGGTGCCTGTAATACTGTGCACGTACAGAAACAACGACAGTATCTATTCTTTGGGTTTGTTTCATGTAGTTAAGGGATTTAGCTCTGTTGCTTCCCTTCTCTATCGTTCATCTGTGAAGCTTTTTGGTGCAAAGATTTTTTTTTTTTTTTTTTTTTTTTACCCAAAAATGAACCTGAAGAGTGAAGGAAAACATTAGTAGGAATATGTTGGTTAAATTTGGTGGAAAGAGATTGATGTGATTTTATTGATAATTTCTTCAATTTATCTTTCGGTGTGAAGCAGCCTGTTGTACAAACAGTTTTGGGCTGGGAGACACACATAGGGAAGACTTCAGTAGTAGACTTGTGGCGGTGGTGGGGGATGAGTCACTTTAGCCAAATTCCAGTACTTCTCTGAGCCTTAGTTTCTGTCAGGTGGGAAAAGACCTTAAAAGTCATTCATTCAGTCAGTCATATATACAGAGCTGGCATACCTGCCACAGGGTTTCCCAGCCCCTAGTGACAGAGAACTTGTTATGAACCAGAATGGCTGAGCCACCCAATCCCTCTAGACAGCTACTGCTCTTGGAAAACTCTTTATATTGAATCCACATCTGTTTCTTTACAGTTTGCACTCATTGGAGCTGTACAGAATAAAATGTCTAACACTGCTTCCACAAATATTTGAGGACTGCTAATATATTTCCTTCTTCCACTCACTCCACAAGGCTCCTTTTCTTCAAACTAAACATGCCTGTTATTTCAAACAGGGAGGCAGTGTGGGGCAGTGGAAAGAACATCAGCTCTGGAGCCAGACACATCTGCCTTCAGTTCCCAGTCCCTTCACATAGTAACATTTAGTACTCTGAGCTACATATCTCTCTCTGAGATGTGTGAATGGAAATATTCACCTAGCCAAATTTACTTAGGATTATGGACAAATTGGGTGACAAATTATGTTCATAGTAGGAGCTTAAAATATAAGAACTATTATACCTTCAGTGACATGATTTGCACTATATTTTAGTTGACCCCTGCACATGTTGTTTATGTATCTCTTAGTTTCTTTTCTGTAGAATAGAATAAAATACTCCGTGAGGTCTAACTAGCAGAACAGAGAAGGATTAACTTATTCTGGGTACCTCTCCATAGTCTACAGTCTCAGTAGAGTTTTTGAAACTGTTTCACACTGACTCACTAAATTTTTTGTCAGTGAAAAACCTGAGTTTCTTAGAGTGCTGCTGTTCAACCAACTTTCTCCCGTCCTGAACTTTTTTTTTTCAAACCTATAATTATGGCTCCTAAAAGTGGCAGTCCCAGTGTTCTATTATGGTTTTTTTTTGTTTGTTTGTTTGTTTTTTGTTGTTGTTTTTTGGTTTTTTTCTCCGGTACCGGGAACTGAACTCATGACCTTGCACTTGCCAGGCAGGCGCTTTGCCGCTGAGCTAAATCCCCAGCCCCTTCTATTATGTTGTCTTCACAATTATCCTTGCATTTGTCATATTCTGGGTCTCAAGATTAGAAAAATACAATTATTGAGCCTAGGTTGCTAGCCCTGCTGATCTGTTGCTGTTGTGAATCAGTGAGACAGTAAATGCTGAGCTTTCTATGCTAATTTTTGCACAAATCTGAGCTCTTTTTATGATATACATCTGTGTTAGAATTGGAATGTCTGATAAGCTGCTGGCTGAGGAAATTTTGCTGCACGTGATGTCAGCCAAGGACAATATTTGGAAGAACTGAAAGGGTTCCCTAAACCAAGGGGGACTTTGCATTTATGTATGGTTGCATGTTTTATCAGATACTCTCAGGACGAGATACTCCCCTCTGGAAGTCAGGCATAGTTAGAAGATTACTTGTCTTTGGCTCCTGGGGCATTATGGCTAGCATTTTCTTCCAGGACTGATAAACGCTTTCTGAGAGTGTTATCTGGGCTGATCTGTCACGAGGTCTGTGTTTTTCCCATTCTTTGCCATTGTGCAGGAGCTGATTGCAAACTGGAAGGCTTTCTTTGCCTAAACAAGTTCTGGGTCCCATGCCCATCTCAACCTCCATCCCTCCTATAAGGAAGTTTCCCCCACTTAGTGCAGGAGGACTTCTCCTAAGAGCCACACTTGGAATTCGTTTTGTCTTTGGGAGCTTTCCCTTACTCTCTCCTTCCCTTCAGGGTTTAAATGGTCTCCCCCATCTACCTACTGGTTCCATGTGGGTAGACTTGTTCATGGTCTTTGAAATAAGATCCTTTGTGGGGCACTCAGTCTGTTAATTAGAAAATTATCTCCATCTTGGATGCTGGGTCCTCTGGCCTGGTGAAAATGAAAGTGTGAAATTGTTTGTGGACTCAAAGGTTCCATTGGCAATACATATGAAAAATATATAATACCAAACCTATTGTCAATAGCTTTAAATAGGAATGCCTTGACGGTGTTGAAAGGACCAATTTAAAATTTTCTAAGTAATTCAGTCTTTAAAAGGTGGCAGTCGGCAGTTAATACAGATGGTGATCCTTGACTTATAAAGGACTGATTATATTTTATTTATTTATTTATTTATTTTTATTTTAAAGAATAAAAGAAGGATAACATAATAATAGGGGGGACTTAGCAAATTACAGACAAAATGGTAGGAAATTATCAATGGTTATCATTTTACATATTATTGTCTACAAAATAGTTTCTCAGGACTGATTATATTTTAAGTGATCAATTAAAGTCTCAGAGGGTTAAATCCATCTGTAGCTTCTCATTTCTTTCAGACAAATTCCAGATTCCTTCCAATGAACTACTCTTTCTAGGCTAATTGTTTTGCCTGTTGGTATCCAAAAGGACTTGCTGTTTTTCCCCTTAAGGTTTTGCAGTCTGGAGCCTCCAGTGCTTCACAAATACCGACCCCTCAGGCTGGAATGTTCTTTGTCTCTCTGGTAAATGTCTATTCATTATTCAAGACAACCCTTCCCCCTTCCCCTTAATTACTTCCTCCCCTGTAGCCCTCAAATTCTTGTACTTATTCATTCAGTATTTGTTAAGAGTCTGTATTGTGGCCGGCACTGTGGCGGGCTTCAGGATACAAAAGGTGGATAATACTTGGACTGAGGGGGACTTGTCACAAAATGTTACTGAGAAATAAAAAGGAGAATTTAAAAATTTTAAAAAGTGTCTGTCATCTCTCCTGATGGCCAGCGTCTTTCTCTGGGGATAGGGGTCATTTCTCATTCATTTTTGACACCGCTACCCTGGGCTCTTAGCATACTAGATGGTGCTAAACAAGAATTTGTGTCCTGACCTCCTCAATTGGACCTCGGTAGAAGTATCCCAAGTACTCCACCAAATGTTCTGATGACAAGCTCTTAGGTGGTGGCTTGTCAGTGTCCAGTGGGTGGCCCTGAGCTCCTGGTCCGTAGTTAGATCCCCGTGGGCACAGCTAACTGGGCAGTTGGCCCTCTGTCAAGTAGTACGGGACTGTATTTCTGGGCTGTGGAGCCACAGAGCTGCCGAGGGGCGGAAAAGAAGCCTGCAGCGCCCCTGCTGGAGCAGTCACAACCCGGCCCGGGCCTCACTAGCTTGCAGCTGGCACGCGGTCATCAGAATTTCAATTTACAGCTGGAAAATGCACACAGTGATGTCCTATACTTTTGAAGGTATATTAGAAGCCCTTTAAAAGGATTATAGATTTTTAAAGATGCCTTCTTTCTTGCACCTTTAGCTCCCTTGCATTGATTGCATCATACACAAATAAAGCCGGGGCGGGGCGGGGGGGCGGTGGTGCGGTTACATTCCTGATGGCGCCTTGGGTCCAGTGCGTTGCGGGAAGGGTGCCGCGGGAAGGGTGCCGCGGCAGCCTCTAGCATGCCGACCACGTTGCGCTGCTGCAGAGGGAACGTGCCTGGCGCCCTGCGGTGGTCCCAGCAAGTGAAACCAGACTTTCGGCAACTTTGGCTTGCCTTGCTCTGTAGCAATCACCCCTTGAACGTGTCCACTACCCCGGGGGAGGGTCCTGCAGAGCCTGTCCTTCCCAAGCTACACGTCTGCCCATTGGTCATTACCATAGTTAGGGGCTTAGCCTGTTCTTTTGGACATGGGTATACATAGGTTTCAACATCCATGCTTCGGGCATGAAACAGAAGCTACCACTTCAAGTACCCAGCCTGGCTTTCCCTAGGTCAAGCGACCATTCTCTGGGCCCGGCGACCTGTGGGGTAGTCTGAGGGAGTGTTGGGGTCTCTGGGCTTGCCATCTTTGCCCGAGGCGTATCTCTGATCAAGGATTTCTGCACCAGACCACTGAGCTCAGGGTTGGGGAGGGGGTTTGCGAGGGATCTGCAGGGAGTTGGCACCCCCGAAATTCCGGTGAATGGAGCGCCTCATTTCTGTGGCGGTAGGGCTGCAGGGAGGGGCATTGCAAAGAGAGCGAGCGGGAGGGGCGCTGCTGCGGCGGTGGGCGGGTCAGGGGCGGGGCGGGGTGGGCTCTAAAAGTCGGTGCCCATGAGCCCGGCGCTGCCGCTGCTACCAGCGCATCCCAGCGTGTTCCCGCTGGCGGGCGGGCGGGCAGGCGGCATTAGCCCCGGCGCCTCCTCTGCGGCAGCCTCGCCTCGCCTCGCCTCGCCATCCGGTGCAGTGCCGCATCAGACGCCTCAGTAGCTGCTCGCTGCCGCTGCCGCGGCCGCGGCCGTGCTGTGTGGACCTGCACGCTGTGCCCCAGCCGCCACCGAGCCTGCACTGCTGCTGGTGCCGCGGCACCGAGCTCCGCAACCCTGCGGCGGGCAGCATGGGATAATGCGGCCATGGTGCGCCGAGATCGCCTCCGCAGGTGGGTGCAGCCTCCAACGGGGTGCGTGGGGGTGTGGCCGGCTACGACTGAGCCTTGCCGCTTCACCGGCTGCTTCACAGGCGGCTTCATCCAGGGGCGAAAACCCCACCCGGTCAGTGGCAATGCTGTTACCTTGGAAAAGGAGTCGCTCCTTTCCTGGGTAGGAGGGGTGGACTCCGAGTCCCCCTGGTTTAGGATTTGTAAACCCTGGAATCTCCCAAGTGAGATTTAGGATTTTTAGATCACTGCCTCTCGGGTGTGTTTTAGGGTCTTTAGACTGTAGTACTATTGTTTTACCTTTCTGCGAATTGAGGATTTTAGACCCCGGTTATCGCTGTGGTGTGACTTAAAATTTTTAGTCCTGAAATGGCTCTGGTGGGATTTACGATTTTAAAGACCCACTTACTGATGTGTTGCAATTTAGGATTTCTAGACCCCAGCATCGCCCTGGGGCAATTTAAGATCTTAAAACCCCACTATTGCCGTGGCGCGATTCAATTCCTTGATCCAGTTATCACTGTGGCGTGATTTAGAATTTCTAGCCTTGGAAACGCCCAGGTGGGATTTAGGATTTAACCTGATTATCGCTGTGGCATGACCCAGTATTTCTAGAACCTGACATTGCCCAGTTTAGGATTTCAAGACCCTTCAGAGTTACCATGGCCTGACTTAGGATCTCAAGATGCGGGTATTGCCGCGGCGCGATCTAAGCTTTCCAGACCCTGACCGCGCAGTGACGGAGGGCCGCATAGGTGTACCGGGACCGCGCTCCATCAGTATTCTTTGAATGTTATTAAGTAGACGCGCAGGAGAGAATGGGGATGTGACTAAATTGTCATCATACTACTAGGAGGTGTTTGCTTTGGTTTAGATTTTCAAAGTAGTGCGTTGTTTCACAGTGATGCCGTCGGGTGGGCAGATTTGGTGGTTTTAGATGACTATTCCCCTGCCGCTATTTACGGTGAAGAAATCAAGGCTCAGAAAGGTTAATTTCCAGTTTATTACTGGAGTTTACTGAATTCACGCTCTTGAATTATAAATAAATAATGGGGATTCAACCAAAAAATGTTTGTTTAAACTATTTTGCCTACTGACTGATTGATAAAAGTCCTGAAATGTTGTTGGAGCATTTTTACATGTTGGACCATGTAATTAAGACAGAGAATGGCTCCAGGCAGGGTTGCGTCTTTGCTTTCCGGGAGTGAAAGAGGAGGATGTGGCGGGCGTGCTGGAGCGGTGTGCCGGTGTCTGGTTGTTCGCCTCCCCAACCCCCCCCCCCCCCCCGCACTAACTGGAAGCCCCTAATGTGCCGTCTTTGGAGCCCATCCCTGGCTCTGCTGAGTCATTGCACATTCAGCTGCTAGGACCATGAACGGGTGCTACTAGAGGCAATGGGGAAATGTATGAACTGAGGACAGATAGTGCCAAGATAATAACTAAAACCTAATGCGTTTTGTCATTTACCTTTCAAGGAGGTATTGGGATATAGCCCGTTACCGTTTCAGGGAGCAGCCTGCGATAAATATCACGTTCCAGCATCTTTCAAAATATTTCTAGTATTACCTTAAAAGGTAGAATCAAACCATTGTGTGTGTTTTACAGACAGGTACTTTGGGAGGGGGAATAGATTGCTTTACTAATCCCAAAAACATAAACAGGGGAGCTGGGATTCTTCAAGGGGCATGGTAATATTACATATTACCACTGTGGGACTATCAGTTTGTTTTAGAGTTTTTTTTTTTTTAAAAAAAAGCATTTTGTGAGTTGAATTAGCTTGTATTAGGGGTTATGGCAAGATAACAGGTAATATGTTTGTAGGGTTTGTGTCCACTTCAGCGGTTGATTACCTTTATTTGTAGCTATTTTTTTGACAGCTCTAATTTTAGTTTTGGAGAGTATTGCTTTATATTGTATGTTTTGAGAAAACTTCTGACAGTTCTTTTTCTGGTGACCATTGGAAGTCACAGACTAGACACAGGAAACTTTCTAATTTCTCTTCAACACTTGTAGTCAGTGTGAATAAACTGATCTGGATGGACCTTTGAAGTAATGGGAATGGCAAGGGTAGGTGTACAAACCCGTGCTTCCTTCTAAAGAAAAAACCAATTCCAGCACACCAAGCATGAGCCTAACTAGGGGGTATTCAGGGAGCAGATCCTATGAAATTAAATAAATGGGAATTTCCTCAGCTTTCTGCTAAGAAAAGCAGAAATATAATCAGCTGCCCAGACTTCTCAAAGAGATTAGATATCTGGGGTCACAACAAAGCTGCTTACATTGGAATATACTGTACAAGACCTATCTTCTTGCTGTAACAGACTCTTTGCCCTGAGCAGTTTCTCAGCCTGTATCTAGATAGTAGTGCTAAATAGGGCTTCACTTAGCCCAGAATGTTGACAAATAATAAAAATTAAGAACACCTCTCTGCTTAAGGATATGTGTAATTTACACACACAGGCTTAAGACATTAGTACCTTGCATGCACTTCAAACATTTTACTGGTGGTGGCTGTTGAATAGGTGGTAGAATTTTTAGAGTAAATATGAAGGAAGTTATTTTTTCCCTAGAAAAACTTGATCAAAGCCAGTGAAACCTTAGTGTGGGTATCAGGAAGAGCTCATAGGGAGAAGCTGGGGGAGGGGAGTAAAAGTAGATTACATATTGAAATATTTTTCCCCTTAAAACTAGATTGGTGAGCCAATGTATGATTGCCATAGCAGGCAGAAGCAGTCATATTCTTCTTGTTAAGCTTTTTGGTATGGTCCTTATGAGGGGCAACGTAGTCACCGCATGGTTTCCCACTCCGTGCTACCAATTCTGGTTTGCAGATGTGTACAATGCCCCTCATTCCTTCTTCACAGGATGAGGGAGTGGTGGGTCCAGGTGGGGCTCCTGGCTATGCCCCTGCTTGCTGCCTACTTGCACATCCCACCCCCTCAACTCTCCCCTGCTCTGCATTCATGGAAGACTTCTGGCAAGTTCTTCACCTACAAGGGACTGCGCATCTTCTACCAAGGTAAGAAATGACCACTGGAAGACCCTGAAGGTGTGGGTCACTTAGGTCCTTGCTGACATACTTATTTTGCATCCCTTAGTCTCTGTTACGCCTTAACGATAGGAAAGAATAGCCCCTTTTTATGTACTGTGATTGAAGGAATGGACTATTTCCCCTTATTTGCTTGAGAGCAGGGAGATTCACAAAGCTGCTGGGAAAGTAGGGCGTAAAACTGAGGTTACAATCTCTGTATACCTGACTTTTTAGTAAAAGTATTTTTCCAGCTTAATGTATATTCAGATATTGATTTTCTCTTTTGAGCACCCCTAGTGTTAGGTAGTATGTATGATATTCAGAGATGGAACCATTGTTTCCCTCCCTCCCATCCCTGATTTCATTTTATTGTTTTCTGTAAAGATGATTTGTTATATGTGTTCCCAAATGTGGTTTAAATCTTTCACTGTTATATAAATTAATCTGCTAATGATAATTATTATGATGACTGCTATTTATCAGGTAATTATCATATGCCAGGCACTGAGTTACATTTTCAGCCTTCATTGTTTCATTTAATCTTTACAACAGCATTTGGAAATGGGTACCATTATATCTCCTTTTATAGGTGAAGAAACTGAGAAACAGATGGAAAAGATTTTTTTTTTGGGCGGGGGTCAAGAGCAATAACGAAAAATGTTTGTCATAAACCGTTTTTCATTATTGCTCCTGACCCCCTCTCATTTGCTATATCCAATTAAGTGTAAGTATATAATTTCATGATGGTTGTTTGGTTTGTTACCAGACTGTCAATATTTTGCATTGTACAGATTCTTAAGAATAAAGCACCTAGGCTAAAGTATATAAAAATTTTAATAGGTTCCAATTAAACTATTTTTGAAAACTGTCTAAATTTTTATGCTATTTGCAGTATATGAATGTATTAGTTTTAATTCAATACTATTAGCAAGGTATTTTTATCCTTTGGCTATCTTTAAAGCTATTTAATGATTCTAAATTGTAATATACATTTAAAAATGTCTACATTGATTGGCCCTTTTTTGTAATGATAGAATTTTGTAGTAGTCTGCACACTATGCTTTTGATGTGGGATTAGTTCTCTTCTGCTGAAATAACAAGTGCTACACAAATAGCATACGCTCAGGTACTTACTGGGAAGAGCTACCATACCTTAGAGAATTTTTGTGATAAATTAGTGACAAGGTAGAAGGCATTTTTAGCTTATATTGTGATTATGTTTTTAACTTTAAAAGTTTGCTTTTTAGTGTGAAAAAGTTTACATACTAATGCACAATAAATCTAGGTGAAGGTGAGCAAGTTGCCTTCAAATACTTTCATATAAAGTGTATACTATTTACATTTTTAATATACAGATTCAAAAGAGAAAGTGCTTCTTTCTCTTGTTCTTACCCAAAGCAATAAGCTTGCATTTTAAAAAGCAATATATCATTTTAATGTCATCACTTTGTAACAGATTCTTATCCTTTGTACTAGATTAGATTTTTAGCATCTTAAAGGTTACTTTTACCAGGAATTGACCTAACTGATCTCTTTTCTTTTTCCCAGATTCTGTGGGTGTGGTTGGAAGCCCCGAGATAGTTGTGCTTTTACATGGCTTTCCAACTTCCAGCTATGATTGGTACAAGGTAATGCAGTCAATTTCTAGATCCTACTATATCTTTAAAAAATCCAAACTACAGGGTTTTTTTGTCAGCACTAGAAGACTCGCACATTTGAATTGCTTAATAACAGCAGCAATGTCCAACTTTCTCATTTACTCTACGGGAGTAAAACAAATCTTTGGCAGTCTGGAAGGACCACTGCCACGTTAAAAGTCCTGACTTTGATAGAGATTAATTACTAGGAATCAAGCACCTTCCAAGAGAATCATCTGTGGGAACTGACGTGGCTTCATGGGCTTTTGCTTTATTGAGTAGTTTGCTTTATCCAAAACTGCCTGTTTGGGATGAAACTTTTTGCGCGTGTGGGTCAGAGGAGGAGCAGCAAGGGAGTATAAAGTCCAAATCAACTTTTCTTTTCTATAGATTTGGGAAGGTCTGACTCTGAGGTTTCATCGAGTGATTGCCCTTGATTTCTTGGGCTTTGGCTTCAGTGACAAACCAGTAAGCAACAACTATATGGGACTGGTGTTGCGGGTGGGATAGAGGTGGAATGGCCAGGTCAGTAGAGAACTGCACTTGTGACTTCATCCTGTTTATCTGGCCTTTCCTTTCCTTAGAGACCACATCACTATTCCATATTTGAGCAAGCCAGCATTGTGGAGGCACTTTTGCGGCATCTGGGGCTCCAGAACCGTAGAATCAACCTATTGTCTCACGATTATGGAGATATTGTTGCTCAGGAGCTGCTGTATAGGTCAGTGAAACCAGACTTCCGTTGCCCTAGCTTAGGATGCTGGGAAAATAAATAGTTCCTGGACCCATCCTAGCCCTTTCCCTGGGGAGATTGTCTTCACTGCTGCATTGGTGTCTGTCTGCTCAGCTACATGTTTCCTCATCCCCTGCTCCAGGTACAAGCAGAATCGGTCTGGTCGGCTTACCATAAAGAGTCTCTGTCTGTCAAATGGAGGTAACTGTCTTGGTGGTAGGTGGAATTGGGGTATAGCCTAGAAGGGCTATGTTAGGTGTCATGGGACAATAAATGATAACCTGATGATACTGCAGGCAGACACAGTGAAACTAGCTCTTTTGCCTTTTCTTTGTGCCATTAACTGCTTTGATAGTCTAATGACATTTATAGACCTTTTCTCAGAATACTGTTTTCAGATATAGAAAAAGATCAAGAGTACAAAGGAAAGTGGTTATATTGAATTTGATCAATAAAAAGCTGCATTATAGCCATATGTATTTCTTTTGCAATTAGACTTCATGGCGGGGGTAGTAACACTGATTAGGAGTGTAAAGGCTGTTTTGCCGTATCTGTAAGAACTGCAGTGGGTTATGAAAGAACACACTTTAAGATAGAAGGCCATCGGTGCTTCTGATACATCTGTGGCATTAGTATTAGATTCTTAAGCTCTTAGATGTCAGAACCAAGTTTCTGTTAGAAATTATGACTCTGGATTATACTTTTTGGAGAGGCTTGTTTTATTTTGTGTGCTATTGAGCACAAAAATCCACGAATATCTAAATGTCCAGAGTGCCTTATGGACAGCTTGGGAAAAGTGTCATAGTGCACCTGCGTTTCTTCCATTTACCCTGGAAAAAAAAAATGGAAAAGGATAAACTACTTTATATTTTAAAAAAAGATTTATACTTACTGAACAATTCCTCTGAGTTCGGAGACCAGATCATTAACAACACTAACTGACAGGGGGGTCAGAGCCTAGTTATCAGCATTATGTATGACAGTAAAATGATTTTTCCATTTTTCTACCTTTAAAATGGGGAAATAATTCTAGTGGGCTATAATTTTACCAGTTGACTTTGGAATTGCTTGGAGAAGTAATTATATAACACTATACTCATGTTTTGCTTAATGAGGGGGATACACATATGTACAGTCCATTGTTGACAAAATACTGCCATGTAGTACATGGCTGTACTTAGTTTTTATTTGTAATTCAGTTTTAGCAGTAAATATCTCAAAGGTGACACTGAATAGGGCAGTAGTCTCCAGTAATGGGTTTGCATTTGACCTAAGTTTTGGTACATGGCTAAAAGTAATTTCTTCTTCTAAAGGTATCTTTCCTGAGACTCACCGTCCTCTTCTTCTCCAAAAGGTTGGTTACTGAACAGAATCTGAGTTTTAAGATTTGTGCTGACATATGTAGAGCTGGGACCTTTTAATGGCCATATCTGCTGTGATGGATCATAATTAAACTCTTCCTCCTTATGGATTCACATTACTGGCATTAACTTATCCCTGCTTAGGCAAATAAAAGCAGTGCAAGTGGCTCCTACACAAATTGAAAACTATTTCTTTCATCTGATGATGAAAGATGAACAAATATTTGAAGAAATACTACTGTGTGAAGACTTGTGTCATAAGCATTAAGTCTGAATAAATTGGGATCCTGGTCTAAACTTAAGAGTCTTAAGGATTTACGGCCAAGCAAGGAGGCTGGTACTCATAATGCTAGCTATTTGGAAGACTGAGGCAGGAAAACTGCTTAAGCCCAGAAGTCTGGGGCCAGCCTGGGCAGCACAGAGCCCATTTCTTAAAAAAAATAAAAATAAAAAAATTAGGGCTTTAGCAAAATGCAGAAATGTAAATAATCTCTTAGAAGGAATTGGAAATACTGCTCACTTTGGTAGCACATATCCTAAAATAAATTAGGAATTAGAAATAGATTTATCTTCCATGCGAGAATGTGGGTCAGCAATACAAACCACTCCTCCCATACACCAGAATTTTCAGTAGATTTGGCTCACTACCCTTATTAGTTGTTAGTATAAAGCCTTTGACCTGGTGAACTGTCACCTTTCTCTGGATCCTTGATTTTTTTTTTCATTTATTTCCTACAGTTACTCAAAGATGGAGGCGTGCTCTCACCCATTCTCACGAGGTTGATGAACTTCTTTGTATTCTCTCGAGGGTAAGTCACTACAAAAGACTGACAGTGGCCTAGGAACAATTATAACTCTGGGCTAAATCCTGAGGTTTGGTATTTTCAGGCAAAGGTTTTGCCCTTTTGCAAAGGAAGTAGTAGGACTTCATAAATCAGCTAAGGGTCAGACCTTGTGACTGCCAAAGCTCTAGTCAGACTCTGAATTCTCCCCTCACTCACCTTCTTGTATTTCGGATTTTTTCAGGCTCACCCCAGTCTTTGGACCGTATACTCGACCTTCTGAGAGTGAGCTGTGGGACATGTGGGCAGGGATCCGCAACAATGATGGGAACCTGGTCATAGACAGGTAAGAAACAAGCCTTTGCTTTGGGTTCCAGAAAGGCTCCTCTGGAAAGATACAGGATTGCTTATTCTGCACCTAGCTGGCTTGTTCCCTACCACAAGAAGGCTGGTTTAGGACTGTAAAGCAAAGCTAAAATCGACATGGTCTGTGCTTTCCAAGAAGAAAGAAGTCAAACCAAGGGTGAGCCCCCACACCTAAGCTGTAAATTGCTGCAGATGCTAATACTAATTTCAGTTTGTAACTGACTTGGGCAAAACCTTTAAGACTCTTTGTCAGTACTAAATGCTTCGAAATGTTCAGTATCAGTTGTGAAAGGAATCTAAATGTGGCCCTTACAGTATGAGGCCTTCCTTTTGCATATCTTTTTGGTAGCAACAGGGAATGAGACACAGGATTTCCCTGTTTTGTACAAAGAATTGCCATGCCTTGATTCAAATAAGAACATGAGAATGTAGCTGCTCTTACTGAGAGATCTAGAGAGAGTGTTACCTCTAAGTGCTCGAGGTAAGGCTCTGTCCTTTTATCTGATGGGTCAGTGTACGGTCCAGTTTTCATTGATGGCTTTGCTGGGAATTGTGCATTAAAAGGAACCAGTATTCCCTCCCACCCCACCCATGAAATCCTCAAAGATTTATTTTACTATACAAACCTGAAAAACAGAACTCTCTTAAAATTCTCTTATGTTTTCCTTTCCAAAAAGCAAATACTGTTTCTAAGAGGTGATACTGAGGTTCACAAAAATAACTGTCCTGGAGCTGCCAGGTAGAACAATTAGAATGCGCAAGTTTGAGTATTAATATGTGACTGTGGTGGCATCTTACATTTAGCAAAAGAAATTCTCCCCATTCTAGCTGTGGTACAGAGATGATGAAACCTTATGAACTTCTCCATTTAGAATTTCAGAGGCAGATGTCAATTTTGAGATCATACAGTTCAACCCTCTTATTTTAAAAATGAGGAAACTGAGGTCAAAGATGTGTGCAACATCCTATCTTTGAGGCACTGAGCTGGTTAGAGTGGAGCCAAAATTGGAACCTAAGAGCCAGGCTTTAGCCACATACATGCCAAAATAACTCGGCTTTCCTGAGGCCTCATTTGTCGCTTACTGGATGCACAGAGCCCACTAATCCTCACAAGACAGTAGGTGTAACCACTGTGTAGTCACTTGATGCTTAACATAAATGGATAAAGTGGGCTCTTCCAAAAATTCCAAGTTGCTTCACGATTAAGATCCGTCCCTTACAGCTTGTGTCAGACATTTGGGTCCCACAACAATAAAGGTTCCTCATTCTGTTTCTGCTGACTTACCTGTTCTATAGCCTTTTGCAGTATATCAATCAGAGGAAGAAGTTTAGAAGACGCTGGGTGGGAGCGCTTGCCTCTGTAACTATTCCCAGTGAGTACCTTTATATTACTACTTGATAGGAAACCTTAAGGAATATGGGTTAAAATAACCAGAATTCCTATCAACTTAAATTGAATTTTGCAAATAAGAATGTAAGATATGCAGTTAAAACAAATTTAGCTGAACAACTACTTTTTAAAATGTATGTATGTGTTATGCGCTAACAAAAACCACCAGGATTTATCTTCTTGGATCTGAAATTCAGATTTCATTGGACATCCTTTATTTCACTGGCAACCCCACTCCTAACACCTGGAAACACCAGTGATGTATGTGTAGACTGCAGTGTATGAAACACTGAAGGTATTATTACAAATGTAGTTCATATTGCTGGTTTCTTTGGTGTGCACTATCAGTGAATACTGTATTAAATTTTGAATTGTTGGGACTGGAGGTTGCTAAGATTACTAACCAAGAGCTTTTAAGTAGGTTGTGCTCATTCATCTCATTTGTACACATTTAAAAAGGAAATCAGTGCAGTGCCTCCAACATGGTAGTTAGTGCTCAAGAAATTATTGGTTGGCTGGGTGTGGTGGTGCACACCTGTAATCCTAGCACCTGGGAGACTGAGGCAGGAGGATCACTGAGATTTCAAAGCCAGCCTGGACTACATAGTGAGCTCAAAGTCAGCTTGGATTACATAGCAAGACCCTGTCTAAAACACACACACACACACACACACACACACACACACACACACACACACACGTTGGTTTCAATTATAACTGAAGAGACTTAAGGAATGACAGTATAGTATCTTGGATTTACAGAAGGAGAACAATGAAATCGGGGCTTATTCCTTTTGGTCCAGGGCACAGATGAGTTGGAAAAGGGGACCAAACTGTTCTGCGTAGGAGAAAATACCCAAAATGAACTAACTGGGGAACATTCAGCAATTCCTTATAGCCTAACTAATAATAGAAAGCTAAGTTTTCTACCATAAAAAAAAATTTTATTTACAGAAATCACCCACCCCAGGGGAGTTAATTTTAGGGTGGCTGTAGAACAGATGTGAAAACTTAGTAAGTCATTCCTCTTCTCTTTCTCAGTTCATTTTATCTATGGGCCAATGGATCCCGTAAATCCCTATCCAGAGTTTTTGGAGCTGTACAGGTGAGTCTCTCTCAGAGGTCTTTGTTTTGTTATTAGTATTTCATCCTGACAAGGGTAAACACAGTTACTTCTTGAGGGATAATGGCACAGACCTCACCGGCTGCTCATCCAGGAGACATAAAAAGATGAGTTGGGAAATTTTATTCTCACGTAAATACAAAGATCAAGAAGTTTAGTTAAACATTACCTTAAATAGCCTGTTTTCACTGTCATGGCTACATCATATTCCTAGATGTGGAGGTTAAAAAAAAGCTATCACCTTAACCTCAGGATGACAGCAGATACTGTTTTAGTCTGACTATAAAACCAGTTCATTGTTCTAACTGGAGCAGACTGCAAGGAGAGATTGACAAGAGTTCACTATGGAAAAGTTGTTATTCTTTGTGGTTATTTTCTCTGGGTACTTACTTGGAAGGTGTCGTACTTTGAAATCTTGACTCTGTCACATAATAAAGTTCCATACCTTCATGTGGCCTACTGGATACAACCCACTAGTAAACAGCTTGCATAGAATTTTAATCAGAATTTCTTGCATCTCTGACATTAAGGAAGTTCCTTTGCTATCTCTGCTTGGGCTTTGAGTTGCTGAACTGATCCATTTGTTTGATGCTTCATGCCTCTCTATGGGGCTGAATTTTGTTTTGACAAAACACTTATTGCAAAAGTGTTGTTTTCTGTTGGATTATGAATCTAAGTGGAATTGGCAAGTTTATCTGCCTAAGATATTTCCAACGTAGAAGGTGAATAAACTGTGTTGGTGGTTCCTTCCAGTATGGTCTGTCCATAGGGGCATTTACTTCTCACTGGCTTACACTCCTCCCCACTCCAGCCTCAAGTTCACCTACATGCTGTTCTCTTCCACTAGGAAAACGCTGCCACGGTCCACAGTGTCGATTCTGGATGACCACATTAGCCACTACCCACAGCTAGAGGATCCCATGGGCTTCTTGAATGCATATATGGGCTTCATCAACTCCTTCTGAGCTGGAAAGAGTAGCTTCCCTGTGTTACCTCCCCACTTCCGTATCTGTTGTGTATTCCACTTAGGAAGAAATGCCCAAAAGAGGTCCTGGCAATCAAATACTGTTCTCACAAAAATCCACTGTACTAACATTGGTGAACAGAATCCAGAGACAAGTTGGCAAAAGTTTTAAGGGTGACATAATAGTCCACCTCCTATTCCTTTGACATCTGATCGAGTGTAAGGACTTACCTTTGTCTTTGTATTACTAGGAAATTATGGTGAGCACTGCTTCTCACTGATTTAGAAAGGCAGGCATTAGACATTCTTTTGCATAGAAGGTTTTTATACACGTCTGTAAACTTTTCTGAAATATTAGAAATGATAGTATCTGGCCCAACCCCAATTGGAATCCTGCAATAAAATAATGAGCAGAAGGGGCCTGCTTAACCTTTCCTTGGGTGGCTTTACAGGCACATGATTTTTAAAAGTTCTCTAACATAGTTTAAGTGAGAGTGAGAATGAATCTCCCTTCTCATAACTTTGGACTTAGTTTTATCAACTGCTTTTCAAATTTTAGACATTTTGTTAAAATAGATATTGGTTTAATAATACAGTATCCTCAGTATGCTTTTAGACTGTGATTTGCCTATGCATGTTTTATATATATATATAAGGATACTTAACCAGGAGATCCTTACTATGCCAGAGTAGTGAACCTTATTAAGCTAGTATTATTTCTTAATAAACTGAACTAAGTCCAAACTGTTTATAGAATTTCCTAAAATCACAGGACATGAAGGACCAACTGTATTCTATGCCAGAGATTCACTGTTATTAGCTGGAAATACAATTCTAACAGCAAATAACAATCTGGCTCCTCATACCTCAGTGCTTTGGAAGCATGTCCCTTCTGAGCTTAAGTGAAGGGGAGGGGGACTGTTGTGCAGTCCAAGTTCCCATGCTGAATATACACTAACTCCTCTTGGGATGATTGCTTAGCTTCTATTGGCTGTCCCAGAGAGGCCTTCTCATCCTTCATAGACAGGGAAGTTCCCAAACAATTATAAGAACAAATTGTGAAAGATCTATAAGCAAATGGTGCTGAATACTTTTTTAAAGCCACAGTTTCACTGTGTTAGTCAAAGCAGGATTATTAAGTGGTTAATTTTTTTAAAAATTAGTAACTTCAAGTATAACAACTTTTAAACTGGAATAAGCGTTTATTTTCTATTAATAAAAATGAATTGTGACAAAAGTGGATTCTGGCTCCCCCCACTACCCACCCTCTGAGATAAAATTTTCTAGCACTGTCAGGAGCTTTCACACATTATGTGAAAGAATGATGAAATAAAGCAGCTGTAGTATACGATAATGTTTATTTTCAAGATCACTCAAAGCTGCACTGTTATACCAAAGCGGACCAAATGAGAAAAAGGAAAAATCAAACCAAACGAAGAAACACCAAAACCCATGCATAAGGACGGACATTTGCTTGATCTGCTGGCTCAGGGCCAAACATTTAATTTGCTTCTCCAAAGTCATTAATCTTTAGGAGTGTGATTCTGGGGAATTCATGCCACTAGCCTAAAAGCCCACTGACAGTGAAGTGTGTCATCTTGCTCAGTAACAACTTATCCAACAGAAGCCAAGATAACATCTACAGGTGTTCTCTCTTTGCTTCTGACAGTCACCTGCATGGTCACGCCATCTGCTAAGGCCAGCCTGGACCTCACCAATAAATCGTAGCCACCTCTGTATACACCTGAGAGAAAGAAGTAAGGAGAACCATATTAAGAACTCACAATAAGCTCTGATAATGAAATTTATCATACTCTACCTGTATCTCCTTTCTATTAGTTTAGCTTTTCTAGAAATTTGTGGGAATGGTACTATGTATCACTTCCAGCTTTTAAAAAATATTCTCATGAGACCAGGTATATAGAATATATTCAATCCTGATCTGAGTACTTAAAAGGCAGTAGGGGCAAGGGTGGGTGGCACTGGTATCTGTGAAAGACTGTCAGATCAGACATTCATCCTAAAAAAACAGCATGCAAAAACAAATTCGTCATTCTGACCAGGCTTCACCTCGTTACTCATGTAATGGGACAACAGTAGGACATGGGATGCTCATCCATATCCCTTCATATTACATTACGCAACAAAATACAGTATAAGAGAAATCTGATAGAAGTCTCTTACCTGCTAGATAGAGTGAATGGGAATTCTTGTTCTCAGGTACTTTATCGGACCTCTCACAGGGCTGCATGCCCAGAAATGTGATGATGTTGTTGACAGCTTCTGTATTGAGAAAGTTTATGCAACAGTATTAGAAAAGTTCAGCACTGGGCTCTCCATTTGTGCCCATATGTCCTGGGAGCTGGGGCAGCAGGAGTGTGTAGTGTGTGTAGAGAGAGGCTACTGGCCTTAAAAATGGATGACTCAACTAAATGATAAAGACAGGTACTTGGTCTTTTAAATAAACTTAGGATAGATTTAATGAAAAAGTAGTTCTAGGATAACACATATACCTGTTACGTTTTATATTGTTATATCAGAAAGCATACTGGCAGCACAATTGTTTTTACCTTCAAGAGTTTTGGTAGAGCTGAGGGCAAAGGTCTCCTCTTTCTCAAAGGTATCTCCCACCTCTTCCCAGGCAGCAGCAAAATTAGGCTTCAGTATCTTCTGAATGTGGTCCGACACAGTTACTTCAAGATCTTCTAGCTAGTGGGTAACAAGACACAGTCAGTAAATAGAAGTCCTTTACATATAAAACAAAGATAGAACCAATCATTTATCACTCTTAAATCCCTGCAGGGGCATAGGAAAAACTCTACTACCACAACAGTTTAAATGATACAGTCTCGATAAACTTAACACTGTAGGCCTTAACACCGAAAAGCAAGAAAACAGGACATCTAGGAAGAGCCAAATTCAGATCTACATCTATACCCTATGTGTGCAGTAGTCAGTGTTGCCACATCTAGCCACTGAGTTCAGGCCATACAGTGCTTTCTACAATTCCTATTCACTATCAGATGGGTAAGTCTTCCTTTCTAGGAAGGTTTGCCAGTTAATAATCTGGCTATATTATAAGCAAACTAGAAGTTGCTGAAGCAAAAAGGGACCAACCCTCTTCAAATAAAACTGATTTCATGTATTATAATCTTATGAAAAATCATGTATTTTCATCTTAAATATCCCTATTGTAAGGGGAAATAAGGGTGAGTTTCCTTCTTTGAATTGAATAAGAAGTAAATCTGTTTTCATGGTGCAGTCCCATTACAGAGGCGGATTATTCCGTGTCCTCCTCAGCTATAATCTGTTTGAGGAAAACAGAAACCCCATAAATTCATGTCAGCTGTTCCTAGAAAAATGCTCTGAAGGCAGATGTTGTAGTGTTGGAAAGGTGTCAATGTCTCTGCAGGAATGACTCACCACATATTCATCATCATACCCATCCTCATCTGGAACTCCAGTGTTAGGGTCACAGTCCCGGACTGTAAATTTCATGGTGCAGCTGAAGGAGCCTGCAACTGGAGGACAAAGAGCAGGCAAGCCCATGTCAGAGGGTACTGTGAGCACAATGGTACCATCATTAGAGGAAGCACTACCAGTGCTTAGCACTGTGCTGCTCCACATTTTCAAATTAAACACTGTTTTCTAGAGCAGTAGTTCTCAAAGCTACCTGCAAGTGGGTCAGAAAGGCAGTCTCACAAAGTATGATGTTAAAATCTGTTCTGCACTGTGGATTAGAATATTACAGAAAAGATAATCATGGGCAAACTATTTCTGTTAGTGTGAAGAAAGCAGTAAGGGAAATACTTTTGGGAACTTTTAGTAACACCTGCAAAAGGGCCTATATGTTGAAAAATAAAAACAACCATTGCTCCAGAACCTGACAAAACAAGATACACTGAATGTAAAAAGCATACAAACCCTCAAACTAACATTGACCAAATATACCTGAATCTCAGTATTAATACTGTCATTTGATTGTGGATTGATAGTCAGTCTACAGATAGGTCTGTAAATATAACCTAGTACTGATAAAGTCAGTGACTTAAGATGGAAAAGCAAGTGTGCAATTATATGTCAGAGAGGACTGGTTGAAGTAATAAGAAATGGAGTTGGGAGTACATTTTTGGAAAATGACCTTTTCATGATGAGAGGACTGAATAAAAGGCATTTAGGGTGAATCCATGGTCTAGAAAAGACTTGTAAGTACAAAAAAACATTAGGAATTGTGACAATAGGAAGCTACTGGGAGATGAACAAGGAGAAGAAAGAATAGACTCAGATGTAAAAAACATGTATGACCTGCTTTCGTAGTAACACTTTCATCTGCTCAGTCTTAACTTTAAACTCACTCTGTACCTGTCCACTCATCCCCCATCCATCATACTGACATTACATTTGAAAGAGTAAGCTAATGTATTGGACATTGAAAACGATGACTGAGATGCAACCTCCAAGTCTCTAGGAGGTTAAGTTAAGTGTGGTGTTTGTAAGCGTGATCTATTTATGACATTACAACTCAAAGCCGTATTTTTTACTATAAAATTTAATAGGTACTGTGTGAGGCTGCAGGATTAATAGCCTAGGAAAACTGTAACACATGTGAAAGGATGTAACAGTTTAGCTGGTTCTCAAAAGACAGCAGAAGAGCTTTGGCAAGAGAGGAAGGTAAGGGCCAATGAGAAAGAGGCCAAAGAGTCCATGGGGTAGCTGAAAACAGTAAGGTATGCTAATACATAGGTGTTGAGGTTTTGTTTAGAAACTATGAAGTAATATATTTAAAATTATTTTACAACTTCCACGTGTGGTGGCGCACACCTGCAATCCCAGTACTCAGAGGCTGAGGCAAGAGGGTTGCTGGGAGTTTAAGGCCAGCCTGGGGTACATAGTGAGTTCAAGGCCAATCTGAACTACACAGTGAGACCCTGTCTCAAGTGATAAAACAAAACAAAACAAAAATTACAACAGCTTTGAGGTGAGGTACTCAAGAGACTGAAGGGTCAGAGATAAGCTAAATAAATGGTGTCAAATTCAGACCACTGTGGGGAAGCCCAAAAACAATGTATATGAATTCAGAGAGCACATAGATTCAATAGAACATGTTGAAGATTTACACTAGTGGTGAGTTGATCCCTAAAAGAAAGAATATACTTATCAAGGCTGCAAAATCTGTCTCAGTATTGTAAGACAGTGATAAAAGAATGACTGTGATTAAATTAAGGTAGGGTTTTCTTCACGAGGAATGGGAAAGAAGTATACGTTAACACAAACCCAACCTAGGTCAACTGAGGTCTTAAAAAAGATGAAAGACGTGAGAGGTATGGATAAAAGTCACCAGGAAGAATGAAGTCAGGATAGACATTAAATAATAAATTATATGAGCTCAAGCTTTAGCAGGGAGTTTAGCAATGAAGAGGAAAAGGTCTACATTAAAATTGTTCTCAAAATGGCACTTATCTTGAGGACAGGCTGAATATAAGTCAACTACTGAGGAGAAATGTCTGAAAAGAAGACAGAGTTAGAGAAAAGATGGATGCTGGAAGCTAAGGAAGGGGAGAGATGTGTGAATTGGCTGGGGTGCAGAACACCCATTAGGCAAATGTGAGAATGCGAAATTTGAAGGAAGTTGCCAGGTCTCTACCACTAGAGGGAGGATTGATGAGGTAAGAAAGGAGTTTATGAAACAATTCCAGAAATTTTATTATCCCTTTGTAGGGATAATAATAAAGGACAGGGTACATCAATAGGATAAAATACTAGAAAGTGAGTAAAAAAGATGGGTTTAAAGCAGGCTAACTGTAGCAATCCATGTAGGTCTGAAGTGGACTGAGAAGTGACAGATGTAGTTTAGGGTGAGCCAAAACCGAGGAGCAAGTAACTATCCAGAAGCCACTACTGAATCCTTAGGAATGCTCTCTGTACAAATGGCAGGAGAGATGTTGAAAGTTGAAGTTTTTCTGTAGAACGCATGGGGGGAGAGGAGGAATAGTGCAGAAAAGCAACACTGAAGTTGTCCTCAGATGAAAACGCACCAGTCACTGAGGAATAACACATCAATTGAAGGGGTAAGAGGGCACTCCTAGGCCAAAAGTCACATTAGAATAAGTCACATTAGAATAAGGAAAAAGGCAGAGTAGAAGCCAAGGAAAGGTGTACCTGGTGTACGGCAGAGCAGGTACAGAGTAAAGATCTCAAAAGGGGAGTCCTGTCAGAGGTCTTCAAACCAGGTCTAATTGGTTACATTTGGCGCATAAAAGGCATGGGAAATACACAAAAACGGTGGGGGGCAAGGACCTGAGTAAGACGCTGGAATAGACTCTCTGAAAGCTTGGGAAGAAAATCAGTTATTAAAGGTTAGTGGGCAAACTCATGGGAAAGTTGCTTAAGATGAATGTTGATAAAAAGCTATTGCTGACAATTTTAGAGGCTTACTTAGAAGTTGTGAATGGGTAGTTTTTTCTGGAGAGTGGATTATTGCTGCGAGACGGGGAATGAATGACAGTTATGAGGATGGAAGTATATCTGAAGACTAATTCTGCAACCATTTCTTCTGTAGAGGTGGTAAGTGAAAGAATGACAGAGTTAAAGTACTACAGATTATTGCACAGTGTGCCATTCAAGTTGCTAGGAGAAGTTCCCTGCTTTGCGGAAACTGGTGAAAAGTGACACACATCTCCTAGGGAGACTTGTCTGAAAATGTCACTGGAGAAGAGAAGAGGGAGGCTGATAAACAAGAAGAAAAGTAGGATTTAGGCTGGGATTGGGTGTAGACTATAAAGTGTGGGTAGAGAAAGGCACTAAAGAGGGCCAGATTGGGGAGTACTGGAAAAAATTCAGTGGAAAGATAGGAGTTATGGTACATTACAACCAAAACCAGAATGTGAGGAGAAGGTGGTTAAGTAAGAGTTGTCATGAGGCTGGAAATAACATTCAACTATTGAGGAGATATCTATGAAAAGAATGCAAAACTAGAGAAAAGATGGATGCTGAAAGCTAAGGAAGGAGAGGGATGTGTGAACTAGGCTGAGGTGCAGAATATGCATTATGCCCTCTTGGAATCTTTGCTGAATGATATCTGAAGCAGAAAATAAGACCAATAGACTGAAAGGTCAAGGAGTTTAAATGAGATGGATCTCAGCCAAGGCCAATGGCAGGAACCCTATGAAGGACTGGACTAAACTGAGAATGCAGATGTATTCAGAACAGTGTAGAAGGAGCACAGAAGATGGAAAGAAAGATGATAAAATCCCTGAGAATGACAAAATGGTAGTTGGGGAAAAAAGCAACTGTAATATAGGTAACACAGCTGTTTCTCTAGAGTCAATCAGGGAAAAGAGTGGAGGAACCCACAGAAGGCATAGGGTCACTGGAAGATTGGTAGGTACTGATATGAGGGACATGGCACCATAGTTACACCAAAGATGATGGTTAAGAGAGATGAGAGAGACTGGGAACTGTGTACTGAAAGCACTATACAGAACACTTAAGCCAGGCATGGTGATGCACAACTGCAATCCCAGTACTATGGAAAGCTGAAGCGGGAGGATCACAAGTTTGAGCCTAGCCTGGGCAATTTAGTGAGACTTTGTCTCAAAATAAAAAAAAAAAAATTTAAAAAGGGGCTGGGGATGTAGCTCACTGTGAAGGCTCCAGATTCAATCCCCAGTACTGGGGGGAAAAAAAGAATAGTTAAGAGTAATAGAAGCAACCTGGGCAGACAGGATGAGAAATGATGTTCCCCAGTAGGGAGATCCTATCAGACCTTAAGATATGGGTCTTTCAGTCAAATGTTGGGTCTTAATGTCAGTCTTCAAAAAGTAGTGTATTCACTGGGAAAAGAATAAGGGCCTGAAGAGTCATGCGGATCTTTGGTAGGAAATTCTAACTAGAAGGTTTGGAAGGAGATGGATTAAGATGAACTCTGATATAAAAAGATGATGGGAAAGATCTCTGAGTAGTTGTCTGTAGAGTGGGGACTTTACTAGTTGTCTGTAGAGTAGTTGTCTGTAGTTTATTATGAAATGAATAGCTAGAGATCATGTTGGGAATCCAACTCAAGAGTAAAACTTCATTTATTATTCTCATGTACAGGTGATAGATAATTATATGTGGGAGGGCAAATCATCAAAGGGAAGCAACATGAATGTCACATACAGTGCTGCATTGAAGTTACTCTTATAAGTTACTCTGTTTTGTGTGGTGTGTGTGTGTGTATGTGTGTGTGTGTGTGAGTGAGTGTGTGTTTCAAATGAAAGACCAACATTAGAAAGAGAACCTGCCTAGGGAGTGCTGTTTAACAGAGATGGAATCCATCTGAATGAGGCAGAGATGATTTCTCAAAGAAGGGAGGCTGGTGACAGGGAAGCATAATTCTTTAGGAGGAGACAGGTAACAAGGATAAAAGGAATGGGAATGCAGTAGGTAGAAAAGCTTATTTAAAGAATGGCAGGCATGGATTGGAGGAAGAAAACCCCATATTTTGGTCAAAAGATATGGAAGAAGAGGGATTAAAGCCCAGGGGAACATTGTAAAGCCCAGAGAATAATTCTGAGGTGGCATGGTAAAAAGAAAGCCCAAAAGCACTATCAAGTGTGGGGTTACATGGTCAAATTTACTGGTTATAAGGCTCGATGAGAAAA